TAAAAAACATAATGCTACCTTTATTCAATTACGATAATGTCTTATCTTTTCCAGGGTAAAATACTCATTTTTAAGCATTTTGCTCTGGTAAACGCGTCATTTTTGCAAAACTGAGTTATCAAAGTGTAGTCTGGCAACCTTCAAAACACTAAACTGCCATTTAAAATGGCATCCGAATCATAGTTTGAATTTTTTTCTAATTTTTTAGTTTTTAGGGTCCGCCGCCATCTTGGATTTGAGAATTTTATAAAACTAAGGTCAAATTTGAATTCAGCGACCCTAAAAACATGAGCATAGCAAATTTCATGATAATCTGACCATTTCCTGATTTATGGCCACAATTCGGCGCCCCCAGACCATAGTGCACCGTACTATTGGACAAAGTAGCAACGCTTTTAAAAGTATGATATCTGGCCCCTTCAATCGCCGGGTTATGCAATGAAAATGATATTGATTATTACATACTTCCCCTTCAATCTGCGCGTTATACAATGAAGATGATTTTGAGTCTTACATGTTGCCTCTACAATCTAAGGGTTATGCTATGGTGTACGTTGCCCCTTCAATGTGTTGCGCATGCAGTAGTTGCCTCTTCAACTTGCAGGTTATGAAACAGCGTGCCAGACAGTGCAAATAAAGATATAAATTAATTGACGGGAAAACTTGACAACATCGAATAGAACAGTATTGCGAGATGGCACGAGAGTGGAAATAAATTTTAGGTACTCTGTTGCCAGATTTAGCAAAATTAATAAAGTTCGGACTTATACAATTTCTGAAACATTAGACCGTTTCCTCCGGGACGTGTCTAATATCGGACTCTGTAGAGCAGGGTATGACTCAGGAATTTTGATTATTAGTGATGGGGGTGCGCACCGGACTGCTTGGAGGTGTGCATCAGAACCTTAGACTTTGGCATCGGGTACTGTGGAATAAGCAACTGGGTTTGGATATTGCAAGGTTCAGTTTGATAAATGAATAAAAAAAAGAAGAAGAAGAAAAAAAAAAGTTATTGTTACCGTTTAAAAACATCCGCGATTAAAACTTACTTATCTCTGGACCGATTGCGCGAGAAGGGCGTTCGGAGGTTCGATACCCGATGTTGAGTGTTAATTTTTACTGGTTGCATTGAATATTTTAGACCAATCATCCAAAAATAATTAATACTAGATGATAAGTATACGAACATTTTCTCGTGAATTAATATGTTAAACAAACATACCGGAATATACCTCCTTCCTATAATCAGCCACATGTTCACTCTAATTAGTGGTGTAATTTTCTTTTTTCAATAATGTTAATTTGCATTCAACGGTCGTAAGTTTCGCTAAAAGTACCTACTAATGCAAGTAGAAAGACATGAAAGTAGTTTGTCTAATATTTCAGTTGTTTTTTCTTTTTTTTCTTTCTTCAATAAAACAAATTGACTTGGACTAGAATCATTGTATCTCTGAAGACAAAAGTTAAGTTTTTTGAAACAGAAAAACTAAAATATTCATTCTTCATACAATAAGGGGGATGTTAACCCAACTATTGATGTATATTTTCTCTGTTCGCCCAAATTAATGATGGTTTTTTTCTTTTTTCAATAACATTAATTTACATTCCGTGTTCTTAAAGCAATATTTTCTCCAAAATTTAGCAAAATGTAACAAGTTATACGTACGCCAAAAAAAAAAAAAAAAAAAAAAAANAAAAAAAAAAAAAAAAAAAAAAAAAAAAAAAAAAAAAAAAAAAAAAAAAAAAAAAAAAAAAAAAAAAAATGACACGAAAGTCGTTTTGTACACATCCAACATTTCAGTAATTCGGCACGCTTTTCCTAACATCTTCATGTTTGATCCATCATTTTTATATATATATATATATTGCAGTTTTTTACGAGGTCAATGACGGCACGTATCCAGGGGGGGTGGGGGGGGCTT